GAGTCAGGGGGAGCACCTGAGGGGGTGGACGGAGCCCATGGGGGAGGTCGGTAGGGAGGGGGTTCTTCTGCTGGATAGGTAGGGGTGAGAATGAAGCAGAGAAAAAGCCTCAACATAGGGGATCTCCTTCCACTTTTTCCAGCACTCGCAGAAGTTAAACAGATATCTGAGAAATGCAGGGTCTAGGGATCCTCCTGGGGGCCATTGACTTTGATTGTCTAATTGATAGTAAGGCCAGTCGTGTGTGCAGAATTTAATAAGGGGGAGTCTGCAGGAAGGGAAGAAAGGCCCCTGTAGGTCAGGAGAGGGACAAGGGGGGTTAAGAGAGAGCTGGGGGGGAAGTGCCTGTTCTTCCACCCCTCAGGACCTCCCGCTCATGAACCGGGCTCCAGAGAGTCCACCGTGACCGTGAAGGTCGTGGTGGGGTGCGTTCTCTCCTCCAGTTTGGGTGTCAGAGGTTTGCTGGACGATCACGGTCAAAGCCCCTGTGTATCCTGTCTGAAGTTGGTTACCCTATAGGGAAACTCACCTACTGAAGAGCTGGTGTTGTGTGAGTAGCGGCAGCGAAGAGTGGACGAGGATGGCGAGCCTTGGGGGAGGGGGCCCTCGAGCAGCGAGGCATTCCTCATCCCGGGTTTCGGCACCAATGAAAGAACGAAAAAGACTCGTCGTAGGAGAAAAATGCCCATTTATTGAGGAACAGCTCTGCATATTTATAGAGCTGGGGCGGTTTGACAGATGGCATGGGGTGCTTTCTGATTGGTGGGTAAGGATCCGGTGAGCCAGCAGGGCTCAGCACTGGATGGTTCTTCTTGGGAGATGGGGAGATGGTCGTTGGAGCCGGGCGACTCCCAACAGAGTTCATGTTCATTATCACATACTTAGCACAATCTCGTCTGGTTGTTGAGCCATCATTCTGATTAGAGATTAGGAAACCAAAGGTGAAAGGTTTCCTGCCTTTTCCAAGATTTCACAGCTGTTATGTGGCAGGATCAATGCAGAGGCAAAATCCTGTGTCTGAAATCAAGTCTTTTTTCTTTTATTTATTTATATATTTATTTATTCTAATTAGGTACATATGACAGCAGAATGCATTTTGATTCATTGAACACGAATGGAGGACAACTTTTCATTTCTCTGGTTGTACATGATATAGAGTGGTACCACATGTACAGCCATACACAAACCTAGAGTAATGATGTCCATCTCATTACCACCATACTTCCTGTCCCCAAGTCCCCTCCCCTCTCCAGTCCTCCCCTTTGCTCAATCACAATTCCTCCAATCTTCTCATGCCCACCCCCTTTATGGATCAGCATGCACTTATCAGTCAGAATATTCGGCATGTGGGCTCACTCAGTCCCATCGAAGCTGAGGAAAGGTGTGGCGGCAGGGTGGAAAAGAGACCTCTGGACATCAGTTTCAGAGAACTGTACCACAATATTATCGCATAGGCAATACTTTTATGCATAGTCTGTTACTGGGAAAATTTAGCCAAGGGTCATAATAATCCAGAGATCTAGCAACACACAAGAAGCAATGAAGGGGCTAAAAGGTCAGCGGCAAAAAAAGCAGGAAGAAGGGAACATGCTGTACACCTGAGGGTGGCCAGGCTACCATGGTGACGGGGCTGGTAGCATTCGGTGTTCCAAACCACAAGTATCCGGACTCAGTGTGCCGAGCCCTCACATAGGCAACATAGGCTGCTTTCCAGCTCAAGGGCCCAAAATCAGCTTTTGGGTTTTAGGGGGCTTAATATCTTTGCGTAAGATGATATTTCCAAATCCATCCATTTTCCTGCAAATGCCATAATTTTATTCTCTTTTAATGCTGAGTAATATTCCATTGAGTATATATACCACAGTTTCTTTCTCCACTCATCCATTGAGGATTATCCAGGTTGGTTTCACACTTTGGCTATTGTAAATTCAGATGCTGTAAACACTGATGTAGCTGTGTCCCCTATAGTACACATTTTTAAGTCCTTTGGGTAAAGAGATTCCTCAGAAAACTTGAAACAGAACCATAATTTGAACCAGCTCTCTCACTCCTCAGTCTTTACCCAAAGGACTTAAAATCAGCATACTATGGTGAAATCAAGTTCTTAACCAATAAACTCTATTACCTTTCTAGACATATCAATCAATAGCATAAAATAGAGATACTAGGGTGCATTTGAGATCATTTACCACAACTTCTTTATAAGCAAAATTCATGCACAATTCTTCATATTACATTCCCCATAATGCAGATTTCTCAGCCATCAGTCTACTTTTGCTGACGACCTGCCAAATCACATAATCACAGGAAGAGTGCGGATGAAACCAAACGTCAAGGAGTTCACCGAGACGTCCGCCATCTTTGAGGATGGCACTGAAGAGGAGGTTGACACTGTCCTCTTTGCCACAGGATACACCTGCTCTTTCCCCTTCTTGGAGGATGACTTAGCAATCCTGGAGAGCCAGCATTCCATGTATAAGTTTGTCTTCCCTCCTCAGCTGGAGAAGCCAACGCTGGCTTTCATTGGCCTCCTGCAGCCCGTGGGGGCCCTCATCCCCACAGCAGAACTCCAGAGCCGATGGGTTGTGCGCGTGTTCCAAGGTAGGCCCGCTCTCCTGGGTGAGCAGCCGGGGTTCCTAATTATGCATGAATGGCAAGGCACCCGGAGCCCCTCTGTCCAATTTACCTTCTACCACAGCACCCCAGATTTCACCATTAGAGATTCATGGCCTTTGGACTCTCTGGAAGCTTTACTTTGATTTGCTAAGAGAATTCTGTAAAGAGGAAAGTAACCAAATAATAACAATAGAAAACATGTAAAACTGTCATCAGGCTACATTTGAGTACTGGATATCCATTCACTTAGTTCTTTTCAGTAGAAAGTTGATTTAAGGAAGAGCATTATGGAAACAGAAACTGGCCAGGGCAGAAGGCCAGCAGGGAGACCCTACCTGTGAGCAGAATGCAGAAGGGTAGGGAAGTCACTGTATGTTTCAGGTAACCTCCAAATACCTGGCTCTTATTCTGGCTCACTTCCCGAGTCCTTACCCAGGCTGATGCCTCTGAACCCAACAACCCTGGGACCAGACAGAAACCAGGTTCCACTGGCAGAGTGGCATGACAGCTTCTGAGAGCCAGAGAAGCTGGCTGAATCACATGTGGCCCCTTCCCTCGCATCCCCAAATAACTTTGATATCTTCCCCATGCTCCGAAGAATGAGAAGTCAGGGTTCCATCTTCTCAGGACATGTCTTCCCTGATGGGTCACCATGGGCATACAGAGTGGCTGCCCTCACTGAATCCTCTGCCTTCTGAGCCATACACTTGCCAGTTGGGTGAGTCAGGAAGCTATCTAGTGCCTGCTTTTCACTGCATGAGGCAGGAATGTGATCCAGGTGGCCTGTGATCCTTCTCTGTCTAACCTCATTTCCTGCATGAGGATGTGTGATCTGGACACATATACTCACAACTTGTCCATGCCATGCCGATGGCCACTGAGGATGACTAGAAACAATGATGCCATCAACAACCTAACACCTGTGATTAGTTGAGCATGTGCGACTCTTGGGGACTTACCTAGAAGGAAAACTGATGCTCCACAAGTTGTGCACATGTGAAACAGCTTTTAATGAGAGATGCCCGTCCATTTCCCAAGTCTGCGCATGCGCGTACGCTGCATCCTCTGAAGTCTGTGTTATAGGACACTCCGTGGCACTCGTGAGGAGATCACATTTCTGTGCTACGTCTGTGGCCCCCGAGGGTTTGGAGAGAGCCCAGGTAAACGGGGTTCCAGCACCATGTGGCCAGCAGCCTTGCTCTTCCTGGACGTGCATGGGAGCTGGCCGTGGTACCTACCACCTGCCTTTCACAGGATGCTTCTTGACCTGGGTCTCCAGCTGTCCACCCAGGGGGCAGGGAGGCACACACAAGACACCCCTACGTGATGGCAGACCCCCATGGCTCCAACCTGACTGGCATCCAGTTTATACCACCTGACGCTGCTCTGGTGCTGGGAACCCAGTGTTGTTTGCTGTTTGGAACCTAGGACAACCAGGCCTGGGTGGCCCCTCGCTCCTCTGAGAGATGTTCAAAGACTTACCACTTACACTTCCTGGCAGAGGGCGGAGGAGGGAAGCCTGCAGTTTGTGTGCAGGTCACCGCAGACCGGACGCACAGTAGGACTCTTTAGAGTTGGTGGGACCCAGCAGTGAATAGGAAGGAACGGGGTGACTGCAGGCCAATGCCTAAGGGTGCCCTTAGAGGAGGCAGGGGGAGCACAGAGCCCAGACTGCGAGTGGGAGGAGCCTATAGGTCCCTGGTCTGCCTGCCCTGGGTGGAGCTGCTTGCTTCAGTGGCTCCCTTCAGTGACTGAGCAGCAACCTCACCTGCTGTCCCTGTGACCCTGAGGAGGCGCAAAGCATGTGGTTTAGAAGTCAGCGCACCTGCTTCTCCTGTGCTGTCCCCATTCCCTGTCTCCTCCTGACCTGACCTGCACTTCCTCACGCCTCCTCTCCCCCACGTATACATGCACACACCACCTTTCACTTTAGCCACTTGTTTCCTTATAAAATGCAGCAGCTACTGTTGGTCCTGGGAGATTCTGCCTCAGCGTATGTTTGTGAATACACATAAGAGCTGACATTTTTCCAATGCCTCTGGGGACTCAGAAAACTTTTTTTTAAGACATGAGCCCAAGGTAAGGATCTTTTCAGACAGACCTGCCTCAGAAGCTGGTCACAGTAGAGTTTGAGGATCTCTGGAAGATAAAAGTGACCCAGCAATCTCATACTGGGTGTATATCCTTCAAGGAAATGAAATCAACATGTCAAAAAGACCCCTGCATCCTGTGTTTATCACAGCACTGCTTACAATATCAGGATAAGGAAGTAGTCTTGAGCACAATAAATCAGACCCAGAAAGACACCCATGGAATGCTCTCTCATGAGAGGCACCTCAGAGGTGATCCCACAGAGGCTGGGAGATGAGTAGTGGTGGAGACTAAAGAGCCCGTGAAGGGCTGCACCCGGATAGGAGAGGAGCTCTGGTGCTCTGTGGCACGCCAGGCAACTGCAGTTGACAAGATGCTCTGTCAGTCTCAAAGTAGTGGAGAGAGACCTTCAAAGCACCCACCTTAAAGAAATGCCAAAGATGACAGTGACGCTTACCCTAACTTCCCTGCATCGAGGACCCCGCACACACGGATGCAAACCTCACACTTTAGCTCCTAAATCTGGGCAAACATCATGTGTCAACCACAAGCCACATGTTTGGGGGAATTCTTAGCATTCAAGAACTTTCACTGTGTTTTGCAACTGAGAACCACTCAACAGCCTGCGTCTCCTGGGGAAAGCTGACTCCATGCAGCCCGCTCCTGAGAATGCCAGGAGGGAAGTTCACAGGGGCTCCCTACGACCTGATTATGACAACTCTCCTCTTGGAAAACCTCTTTGTTTACTCCTCTCCCCGCCCTCCTTACATTTCTCTCTTGCTTTGTCTTAGGACTGAAAAACTTGCCCTCAGAGGCTGACATGCTGGCTGAGATCAACAGAAGGAAAAGGAGAATGGCCAAAGAGTAAGCACATGATCCCTGGCTAAAGGACACCAAACTCCTTCTGCAGGTCCTATTGGACCTTTGTTTTTGAACCAGGCACCTTAACAAGACCCCTAAGACAATTCTAGCTCTGTGACATTATGGTGACAATGCACATGGGGACAGGAGAGAAAAGCCTGGCTAGAACACCAGTCTCACTGGTGAACACACAGGATCTCCAGTCCCTGCAGTGAGAGGCCTCTACAGTGAAGACCAGAACACGCAGACCAGCCTGTGCTCACTGCCAGAAGCAAGTCAGAAAAACAAAGGAGAAATAATCTGTTCAGAATACAGAAAACACAACACACTCCTCAAGACACAATCAAGACTAGTTCAGCGGGGCTGGGGTTGTGGCTCAGTGGTAGGGCGTTTGCCGGACACCTGTGAGGCACTGGGTTCGATTTTCAGCACCACATATAAATAAATGAATTAAATTAAGGTTCATTGACAACTAAATGTATTTAAAGAGAGAGAGAGAGAGAAAGAGAGAGAGAGAGAGAGAGAGAGAGAGAGAAGCTCAGGAACAGGCGTACTTACTTCAGTGTGGTAAAGACCTACTCTGAGTGCTTTGCAATAAACCTATGCTCACTCGGGAACTTTGGAGATGATCAGGTGCCCTTCTTACCATTACCTAACTAGACCCACAGTACAGGCCATACAACTAAACAGGACATGTAAATGCCATTTTTGTCTACTTGAGTCTATTGTTGGTTGTTTATATTTTCATTGCTGGAAAAAATGAATTTCCTTTCTGGATTTTGGTTATAGCTTCCTGTATATTCATTTGTAATCAGAACTTGATTTTTTACTATTTTGTCAGTTATAATAGATATTTATATGTTTTTAGATTTGATATATAGACTAAAAAATTTTGACTAGATGATTAATTCACATTTTTATGATTTGTTTCTTCAATAGAAATTAATATCTTCCAAAATTTGAAAAGTTTTGGTACTTTTAAAATAGTCTTTAATAGTTTTTATCACATATCCCCAAAAATACCTTACCAGCATAGTTTTTTGGTTGGTTTTGTTTTTTGCTACTAGGAATTGATCCCAGTGGCACCTAACCACTGAGCCATATCCCCAGCCTTTATTTTTTATTTTTTGTATTTTATTTGAAGACAGGGTCTCACTGAGTTGCTTAGGGCCTCACTAAATTGCTGGGGCTGGGTTTGTACTCATGACCTCCAGCCTCAGCCTCTGAGCTGCTGGGATTACAGGCATGCACCACCATACCTGGCTACCAGCATAGTTTTTAATGTCCAAAGTCTGAAACAGTTTGCAATTGTTCAGTGCTCAAGGATATAGTTACTGTACAGAATCAATACATGGAAACATGCATTAAGAGATTTAAGAAAAGTGTTTTAAGAAATAAGTAGAAAAGAAGTTCCCTGGAAACTAAGGGACAATATGGACTCAAATATGACATAGGGCTTCCAACATTGTCCTTCTTATTCCAGGTTTGTGGAGAGCCCAAGAGATGCATCTCGAGTGTACTACATCGACTACATGGATGAGATTGCTGCTGAGCTAGGCGTCAAACCCAACCTGCTCTCCCTCTTCCTCTGGGATGCCAAGCTAGCCAGAGAGGTTTTCTATGGGCCCTGCACCTCATACCAGTACCGCCTACAGGGGCCCGGCAAGTGGACCGGGGCCCGGGCAGCCATCCTCACCCAGAGAGCCCGGATCCTCAAGCCCCTGAGAACACGTGTGCTCCAGCACTCTGGCTCCCGTTCCTCTAGGTGGCTTTGGGTCACAAGAGTCTGTGCTGTCATCTCTCTCTCTGCTTCCATGGTCATCATCTTGCAGATGACCRGTCATTAACCTCACGTGGACACAGATGGGCCTGGAACCAGAGAAGAACAAAGCCACTCAGGTTTGAATCTACCAAAGGCAAGCAGTCGGTGGTCTGGGGAAAGACATCCTTGGACAGGCCAGCTCACACACAGATATTTCAAAGGAAACAGAATCGCCCCAATGATGGTTTTCCACGTGCTCTACATGMAGRGAGGTGTGAAATGCACAKCTTTGCTCCCCTTCMTTTCAGTAGGAATTTGAAGKTTTSACAGGTTTACCCAGAGGACAACAAAATGACAAGTGGGGCTCCATTGAAAACCAAGGGGTGAGACAAAGCGAAGCCAGCTGGAAAACCCAAAGTGCTTCCTACAGTCTCCAACTTCCCCCAACCCCATTCCTACTGCACACGGAGACCTTGTGGCCAACAGAAAAGCCCGACCGTCTCCACCTTCACCAACTGACCCAGCAGCCTTGTTACAGAAGAGTCGACAGCCCCCGGAACTCSAGGGTTCCACCCTGCCACAACSAGGAGCCAGCCCACCTTCTGGTCCAGAGGCCAACGTTCTTCCACTGAGGTGCAATTGAGGAATAACAGAAATGAAGAAAGAGAATGTTCTCAAGATATTTTCCTTGCAGTCTAACAACTGCAATGTTACATCCACCTACACTTTAAGAACAACAAGCAGAATCGACTGTGTTAATGGAGACTTGGGGGACAGGATGACAAGACCCTCTGTGTGCACTGACTGCTGGTTTAGCGCAGAGGGAACTCAGCCTGCACTGCACGGGAGATGGTCCTTCTAACTCACGAGACCCTCTGTGTGCACTGACTGCTGGTTTAGCGCAGAGGGAACTCAGCCTGCACTGCACGGGAGATGGTCCTTCTAACTCACGACACCGCTGGCTGGCGGCATAATGTGTTATGGTTGTGTAATAAGACACACTCAGTTTCAGAAGGTACATACAAAAGCAGGAATAAAGTACCATGATATCCACAATTTATGTGCAAAAGACACGAGAATAACTGTGTGCCTGTGAGTGTGACAAAGAGGGGTTGCGTGAGAAGGATCAAATATCCACTGCAGGGTCTTCTAGGAAAAAGGGATTCGGGAGCTTTTTGCACACCTTCTTCAAATCCTGTCTGTGTCACTTTACATTTGGGAACTTCAACATAAAAACCTTAGAGAAACATTCATTTTCTAAAATCACTTATGTATGTGCCATCAATAGCCCACAAATTTGAGTTTAACCTTCTATTAACCAATCAAAAAAGGGAACTGTGGAAAAGCAAATAATGAGCTAATTAGATAAGATCACACCCACAACACTGTTAGGGATTTAAGTGGAGGAGGGATTTCACCATGGACTCCTTAAAGCCATGGCGTTGCTTGGTAATAGAAACATCATCTGTGACATCTGTATTCTCTATGTGCAGACTCTAAATTGTTCGGGAGCATCCCCATCATAAACTAAGCATTTTGCCATGATATGTTTTTGAATAGTTGACCTGCTATTTCTTGGAGACTCTGCTAATTGATATTTCCATCAACAGAAATCACGATGAATATTGAGAGTTTACTTTCAGAAARTGTCTGGAGAAGAACAACTTTGTAGGTAGCCACTTTGATTGCCTGAGATCCTTACCCAAGGGGACCCACTCTGGGGGCCAAGGATTTTTGAAACTTGATTTTGAATCTGTTCCACACTGTGAATGGCTAATCAAAGCCCCTATTTAGTGTGACCAAAAGAATTTTAATCGGAAAAATAATTATTTCATCAAAGTTTCTAAAGAGCATTCCTCTCTGAATGCCCCGCTGAGCCTCTGAAGGCAAACTGTGAAATATGCCCCAGTGTAAGTGAGCGACCTTAGGGGGACATCACAGTGTATAAGRCAGTCAAAAGCTGGGCTGGAGCCTCCAAGCCTGCCCCTGTCCCTTCTCTCCCTCCCCTGGCCCGGCTCCTACTCTGCCTACTGATGCTGTGTCCCTCTCTGTYAGAGCTATGTCACCTTCTCCCAAAGCCCCGCTGAGGCCACCATCTCTCCTCCATCTCCCACTCCACTACCAAACCACCCAACGGCCGAATCCTGCTACAATCTGGCTGGGCACAAATCACCGAACCGCCACAAAGCACTTGTATGTTCAAACAGGAAACTTTATTGCCTGAACTCCAACAGCACTCCACACACTCTCCCTGGGAACTCTCCCAAAGGCCACCCACATGGCTCCTCTCTGGCACACCTCACCAACTGGAATTCTCTCCACGGGAACTTCCCCAACCAACTCGAACTCCAAAGTAGCGGGAGCTGAATCAATCCAGCATCATCTTAATGGCTTGCCTCTCACCCATTGCTTCTGGCAAAATGCCAGGGGCCATTCCGACTCAGCTGTGGCTCTCAACATCTCCCCCCTTCTGTTTAATTAAACAACAAGCATGTGGCTTAGGGACCATGCCCATTTTAAGTCGTCCAATACACATGGTCCTTACCCATCATCAGATGAGCTGACCTCTAGGCGTCAGCCTCCTGTCTTAGGTTGGTACCATTGCATTTGGATCTTACCCGTCACTGACTACTGGTCCAGCATACAGCCACACCTGTGGATAGGCCTTTGCACCAGTGGGGTGGTGAGGTTCTTTGCCTCACCTCTGTTGGCCCCCAAATTTGGCCTTGGTGCCAGTGGAGGGGTGAGGTTCTTTGCCTCACCTCTGTTGGTCCACAAATTTTAGACCATCACTAACAGAGGGGAGGAGGATGTAAAATGCCACAACACCAAACCAAATGACGGTTCCTTTTGGAAAAATTGTACCACCAATGACACCATCCGCAAACATACCCCAGCAATACCAAAATTTGCTGCACCAACAGATACTTCACAATGCATACAATGATACATAGTCCAGGCAAGTTCTGAAAGCAGTTCAAAGCAGAGGAATCCATTAATATGTCCATTTCCTCCCAAAGTAAATGGACTCCTTGATTGACCATTACTTGGTGAGTTATTATTCATTGATGCATCAGTTTATACAGTTTGTTGTAATAGCTATCGTAGAAGGTGTAATTTGGTTTTCTCTTTGTCTTCACCGGCACTGGGATGAAGATAGGAATTATGGCAATGATGGCTAAAAAAGAATATGTAACATTCCAACAGGTACTAAGAAAACAATTTTCTGAACAATTGACATTATCCTGAACAGAATTATTAAATATAATGAAAAGGAAAGGTGAAAGTAAACAAACAGATCTGTTAACCTCCTTTTTTGTTCACAGATTAAAATAATCCTCAACAGCTGTTTACTCAATTTAAATTAAACCATTTAAATCACATGAATAAAGAAAATATTTGGAACCATTTTTTCATGAGCGCTCCTCATATATGATATATGACATATGCACATGCAGACATACAACACAAAACACTAGTGTGCACACATGATACAATACATACAACACATAACATAATAATAAGGGCCTTGTAGCTTTTCACAGGTGAAATCTCCATTGCAATGTTTAAAACCTCCACAGTAAAAAAATAGAACTGATCAGAAAAACATTAACCTAGGTCTGTATGAGCTCAAAAAATAAAATAGTACTTCATGATGTGGGAAAAGGCAATAATAAAATAGATATTGAAAAAAGCATCCTGGTTACCACCTGGGTTTGACTCTTCTGTGGATATCCCATCCTTTTTCCTGTAACTTGCATCATGGCTCTGAAGGTATTCCCACAAGCAAGCCCCAAGGATTTTTACATTTGAAATACGCCTTAATAGTGTTCATTATTCATTAGCCTCCAGGTGTGGGAAAATCACACTCGCAGATTGAAGAACAGCCAAGCTGGGGCTCTGGATATCAGCTGTTATGGATTTGAGTCAAATCATCTTCTTTTTGGTCTGTAGAAATCACTTTGGTTAGTCTCTCTGGAATCCAAATCGGCTGCTGTTCTCCCTGTGGAAACATACAAACAGACTCCCAACTCCAGACAATCACTGGGTCAGAACCTTTCCATTGTCCTGTTAGAATATCCTTCCAAAGTACCTTGGGCTTATGTACATTTTTTGGACCTATATGCCTTTCCGTAGCACTAAGCCCTGGTGACTCCAAATTTTAAAAGTTTAGAGTAAAAAAGGTGGTTATTTTAAGTTTATTTTTGGGGAATATATATACCCCTTCCCAATTCCCTCTTCTTACTTTAATAAATACATTTTAATAATTTGATGAGCTCTTTCAACTATGCCTTGTCCCTGTGGATTGTATGGGATTCCTGTTATAAGAGTAATGCCAAATGATGAGCAAAATTGCTTAAAAGAGGTAGAACTATAGCCAGGACCATTATCTGTTTTTAACTGTTTTGCAGTGCCCACAGTGGCAAAATTTTGTAAGCAATGAGCTATAATATCTTTAGTTTTTTCTCTGGCATGTAGGGATCCCATCAAAAATCCGCAAGAAGTATCAACTGTAACATGCAAATATTTTAATTTTCCAAATTCCGGCAAGTCTGTGACGTCCATCTGCCAAATATAGTTAGGTATCAGTCCTCTAGGATTGACTCCAAGATTAACTTGTGGTAAAAAGGTCACACAATTTTGACATTGTTTTATTATTTGTCTAGCTTGTTCCTTAGTTATTTTTAAACACTTTTGTAAAGTATTAGCATTGACATGGAACCTTGTATGAAAATTTGTAGCTTCTTCTAGTGTAGAAAAAATATGTATGTCATGTGTAGTTT